ACCTAAGTCCCTCTTCCCATCCAAAGAGAGAGGGAGTTAGGAAGCCGAGCTTAGACAAGGGCTTTGCAGGACTCTGAGGGTTGAGAAAGCTGCTGGAGATTCTTGTAGTAGATCTTTCAGCAAGCAGTTCTGGTACTTGCATTTGCAATATTTTAGGTCTCTTGAAAACCAGATTTGAAGGTTTTCAGAAATGCACAGGCCTTTGCCAACAGAAAGCAGCCCCAAGGGTGGAGGGAGTGGGGCTCCCCACGAATAATGGAGACTCTAGTAGCTTCCAAATTTGGCTATTGGAATTGAAAACAGTTCAGCCTGTCCATTGGGGACCAGTAGAAGATGAGTCCCCTTTAATTTAGGGTGCAGGCTTCTGCCAGCCCTTTAGTCATTTGGTGCTTATTGCCACTCCATTTGTAGCCCTCTTGACTAGTGAGTGTGCTCACATGTTTCCATTGGTGATTTGGCAAATTTCTTTCATAAGACACTAGCTGTGTGTGTGCGTGTGTGCGAGGGGGTCATGCTGCCACTGAATTAGCTCAGTTAGAGCTAAAGAGCTTTGGTTGTAAGTTTTATTTCAACACAGACCCGTTATCTTCTTACTAAGCACAAACAAAGTTTCTCAGGACCACTGACCTTCTGATCTGGCCAGCTGGTTTGCAGATGTGATCTGGTCTTCTTCAAGGGTGGTCAGACAACCCATTACCACTTCTGTAAAACTCAACTCTCAAAACATCTCTTCTTCATCAAAAAATAAAGGAACTTAGAGTTTTCTCAGAGAGCTAAGACGTTTCCTCTTTTATAGATGGTGAGAGCAATAGTGACTTACCTGTCCTAGAACTTTCAACTTTCTGAACTCTGTGCCGTATGTTCATGGCCTTCCATTTGCTGGTGCTATCTTGTCTGCCCATCCATACTCCCCTTTTCTTTTTTTTTTTTCATGACAGGAACACTGTACTCCATATATTTTTGTCTTTCCTGCTTTGGCGCCTTTGCTCTTGGTGCATTCTTGCCTGGGATGCCCCTTCCCTTCTTACCTGCCCAGTTGACATTCCTTGAAGGCCCTTCTTGAGTAGTCCCTCCTGGGTAAGCTCCTATTTCTCACATCTTCCTAGATGTCTCTACACTTGATCAGATTTTATCTTCCATTGCTCTCTAATTATTTTATGGGTATGATGCTTTATTTTCTCTCAGAGATCTTAAGCTCTTAGAAATCTTGCTTTAGGCCTTTTATGTAATCCTTGCAGCATCTGACCCATATGAGTTAATTTCTTGTTGAATGAAATTCCCAGGGAGTGGAGTGGAACAGTATGCACAGGGAGCTGCTAGACCTGGCTCCCTCTTCCAGTTCTACCACACCTTGGCTAGGGAAGGTCAGGCTGATGGAATTTCTACCCTTTCCCTGGATATAAAATAGACATTCATTAGTCTCCTCCACTCAGGACCAGTAGAGGCCCAGCACATGCTCAGAAGAATAAGATCCAATCTCTGTCCTTAGAGAGTTACAGTTTAGTAGGAGAGATCAGGTGTATAAATAATGACAACACTGTCTGACTCTGTTAGCGCAGAGACCCAAGCAATACTGGGTGCACCTTTGTTCCCATACCTCCTGTGGGTGGGATTGTGCTCATGATGTTGTATTGTGTATTTATCTCCCTATCTAGAATGTGAGCTCTCAGTGGGTTAGCTGCATCTCACTTATTTCTGGGTCTCTAGTTTCTAGCCCAGTGTCTGGCACATAGGGGGCTGCTAAACAGATATTTGAGTTTGTTGGAGGAGAGACTTGACTGATAAATGAGTGAATGTTCCCAGGGTTACAGGTGCACAGAGAGAAGAGACATTTAGATCAGGAATAGGTGGCTTTGGAGCAGACTTTTGAAGAAAGACTACGGGTGGAGCTTGCTGAGCAGGCCAGAGAGGAAGGGCCTTCCTAGAAAAGGAAACTGCAGAGGCAAAGGCACAGAGATGTGAAGCTGCACGTGAGGTCAGAGAAACCTCGCCTGGTATGGAATGGCTTGAAAAGGATACAGGGCAGAGCAGAGAGGTGCGTGCCCTGAATCCCTGCCTTGCAACCCATGAGCAGGCTGCTGTGTGCTCTGCTGACCACTCCCCTCTCCCTGAGTCCCTGAACCTGGCTTCTGTTGCCTCTTGCTCACGTATGCAAAGCCTTTTAATATTGGCTGAAGGCAGTGCTTCTCAAACTTTAATTGCTCAAGAATCACCTGAAGATCTTGTTAAAAATGCAAATTCTGATTCCTTGGGACTGGGGTGGGGCCTGCAACTATAATTCCCACCAGCTCCCAGGTGACACCTATGATGCTGGTCTGGGGACCACAATTTGAGAAGTGATGCTCTAAAAGGCAAATAACTGTAACTAAGGAAGCCCTCTACAGCCTCAGCTAGGCATTCCAAAGGCAAAAGGAAACTACCTTCTGTTGGGTTATCTGGGTTATCCGGAACACTGCTTCTCCCAGCGGCATAGGTAACTGAGAGTTGTCTAATAACATCTTCAGTGATCAATGGCACTGGGCAGAAATGCCAAAACCACAGGGCTTCCCTCCCCAAAAAGCCCAGCTTTGATGTTGGTGGTGTCTTCATTCTACAAAACACCTCTGAGTTTCTGCTTCCCAGACTTTTGTTGGCTCCTGGCAAAGAAGGCTTACTCTTTCATAGTAAATAGTCATCTGGAGGTCCAAGTGGATTATGGGGAGGTTTCAGGGTGGCTCTCCCCTTGTCTCCCCCCGCCCTCTCCCCACTGCCTCACCCTGCCAGGGCCCTGGCCTTGACCTGGCTCCTCCTGACTCTTGCTTCTGAGGGCTGAATTGGACAAAAGCTGTTCTAAGTCAGGATACCTAGTTTCTCTTAGCTGAATTCTGGATAGAAGCGGAACTTCTGGATCCATTTCTTTATTCAGATGCCTCCAAATTAGAAGCTTCTGGATCCAGTATGAGACCAAATGAGAAAGGTAGGCAGCTTCCTTCAGTTTCTGGGCCTCACAGGCAATCCTTAGCTGCATTAAGAAAAAAGGAGGAGGCCGGCTACGTCAAACCAAAAATCCCTGGCAACAGGCCTGGGCTGACATGTGTCTGCCGCAGCATGGATGGCTGTGCTGCAGCCCGGGACTTGGCAGCAGGGCTGGAGCAGGAGCGGAGGCCTGGCTTGTGCTAGTCTATCCCTCTGGGCACACCTATGAGCTGCTGACAGTGGAGGAGGCCTCAGAGCCCCAGGGGTGGGGGCCTGGGAGTGGATACTTTTCTCCCCAGGCAGCCCCTCTCCTTCCCTGCAATTCCATCCTGTGGGCCCTGTGCTCTCTGCTGTCTGGATAAGCCAGCCGGAGCCAAACCCTAGCAATGTGACAGAGGCACTGGGGGACAGAGTCTGCATGACCTGGGCATGGATGACCACAGAGGGCTCCTAGACTATCCACCCCCTAGACTACCCACCCTGCCTTCTGGCTACTCTCCCCAGAAGCTCTGGCCCCTCTGCTCTTCCTCAGCCTAGAACAGCTTCAGAGGCCTCAGCTAGAGTTCACTACACTCCCTGTGTCTACTTTCCCCCACTCCCTCTCCAAATTCACTAACTCATTCAGGCATGCCCCATGCAGTCATTCACTGCCTGTTTATGGGGTGTCTGCTCTGAGCAGGCACTGTGCTGGACTCCCTTCTTGTTCCTGCCCCTTAGCACCTTCTTTTCTGTCTTCCCAGAAGCTGATGGCTTTACCTGTCTAGCTAATCTCCTCTTCCCAGTGCCTCTCTAACTGACCTGAGGGTAGGTAGGCTCCATGTCTCCTTCCCTCGGTGGTAAGCAACACGGAATACTGGAGACACCCAGGGTTTCATGAAAACCTGGGTTTGAATCCTGACACTGACTCTGCCCTTAACTACCATATATAAAATAAACTCGGGCAGAATGAACTCTAAGGGCCTCTGTTTCCTTATCTGCAATTAAAAAAAAAAAAAAAAAAAAAAGAAAGAAAAATCACTTATCCCAGGATTAAGATTAAATTGAGATATCACATGTAAAGTACTTGGTACAGAGTTAATACTCAAAAATATTAGTTGCTCCTTCTTTGGTGCATAAATGGCCTTTTACCAGTGCATGTGATTGCTGCATGAGAACTGGAGGATGGGGTCACCTTCTCTGCTTAGGGGTACCTTGGTCCTCTACCTCCAAGTTCTCCTACTTGTGGCATTAGCTGATTTTTTCTTCCTTCTTCAAAAGGAAAAGTTTCAAACAATAGAAGAGAGAACTGTATGATGGACCCTGGTACTCATCAATTAGTTTCAACCGTCAACAATGATGTTTAGTCCTGTGTCATCTAAGTCTTCTACCTTTTTTTTCCCTTAAATACTTCAAAACCAATTTCAGTCCTTATATCATTTAACCTATAAACAGACTCTAGTGTATATCTTTAACAGATAAAGATGTTCAAGAACACAACCACAATATTTTTATGACACATGACAAAATGAATAATTATTCATTAATTCAATCTAATGTCCAATCCATCTTTAACTTTCCCCCAATTTTCTCAAAAATATCTTTTTCCTGTGGATTTGTTTGAATCAGGATTCTCCCAAGGTTCAAGTTATGTTGGATTGTAAGATCTCTTTGGTGTTTTCACACCAGCCTGTTTTGACACGTTCTGTTTTCAGTGGAAATGCTAGAATGAGGAAGTCATCACTTCCCCAAAATCTCTCCAACTCACTCCCCTGAATCCTTTCCAAATAACACAAAAACAAGCATCTCTTTTTTTTGGGGGGGGTGCTTTTTGCGGGTATCTTTAAATGACAATAAGAGTTCCTCCTTTACGACAGCTTTGAAATAAATGGATTCCTCTGATAACTTTGCAAATTCAACAGTCATCCAAATGTAGTAGGAAGGCAAGCTTTGCTTTAGAGGGTAAAAATTTCTGGGGATTTTGTTCTTTTCAGAAAGACTTTTTTTATGCCCTCCCACCTGCTTTTTGAAATCCACCAACCACAATGTTTACTCCATTCCCCCTTTTCTCTCACTCTCCCTCTCTCTCCCTCCCTTATCCAACTCCCTCTCTCTCTGCTTTTAGCCGCTACCTATAAGCCGGCCATATTAGAGAGATGGAAATAAAGCCTCCTTAATGTTGTATATGTCTTTGAAGTACATCTGTGCATTTTTTTGTTTTTAGCATCTAACCACTCCTCCCTCATTGTCCTCAGCCCCTCAAATCACGCTGTCCCCTAGCCCACCCGACTAACATCTCAGTCTCTGAAAATGCACAGAGATGCCTGGCTACCTCGCCCTGCCTTCAGTCTCACGGGGCTCAGTCTCTTTTTCTCTTTGGGTAAGTTAAACTCACATCTGCATGCGCCCGAGGGTTCAGAAGTGCAGCAGTGGCTGGGAGCGGATGGGGGCAGGGGACAGGAAAGAAGACATTGCTAGCGCTTCCCTCCGTGTCCTTGGGAAGGGAGGTGCTGGGGGCCGGAGGGACGTAGCTGGGGACTGCATAACGCCGGGACGACTTGGTCCCAGAATTGTTGAGTCAGGGCATCTGAGTGATGCTCTGGGGATGAAAATTGTCAAGGGAGGTGTTTTTCTCCGGATTTCCCCGAAGTGGACCTTCTCGGGGGTGGGGTAGAGGGCAGACTGATCTGCAGGGTCTCTTCCCGGATTTTTTTTTTTTTTTTTTTTATAGTTGTTGCAAACGTGGGGGCCTGGGATTTCATGCTCCCTTGAGGGGCTTCTGTTGCAAGCCTTGATACTTGGAATCTGGTAGATTTAGGGTGTTAAGAGAGAGAGCGTGGTGTGAGAGAGCTGGGGCCAGAAAGTTGAGTCTGGGTCTGTCTGGTTTCCTGGCAATCCTGGTCCCACTGATTTGCAGAAATGTGTGTGGGAGGAGGAGGGGGGAAGCAGGCTTGGGGAATGATGTCTGGGTTGGGGGAGACATGCTGAGGCAGGCACTGATGGAGAAGGTACCTCTGGCTTGGGCCAGGTGGAGTGGAGGAGGGGTAGGGGTGAAGGGACTCAGGGAAAAAAGAAAAAAAAAAAAAGTAAAAACCATGGGCTGAGCAAGGCTGTGGCCCTTTAAAGCCAGTCTCAGAACTGCCCAGCCCAGCCTTACAGATTGCCTTGTCAAGTGGTTCCAAATATTAATTTCATATTTGACCACTTTCTGGGGGGTTGGTGGGCTAGAAAGTTATTTGCAAGCTTGCTGTATCAATAGTTTCGTTCTTGCTCCTAAACTTACTCATTGCTGATGCAGCAACTGAGGGTCAAAGTCCAGGGATTGTTGGGGATATTCCCCATCTCCAAGTGTCTCTCTCTTTTTCTGTGGTGTGATGTGCTGGGTATTGGGCAGGAGTTCCTGCACAGAGACAGCATGGGGCCCCTGGCAGCCTGCATGGTAAGGCCTATCAGCTTTGCTCAGCTACTTGGCATATGAACAACAGAGAAGGAATGGAATCTCCTGTAGAAAGAGCATGAGCCTTGGAATTGGACCTGGGTTTAAAGCTACTTTTGTCATTTTTACTCAACCCCTCTGCACTTCAGTTTTCTCCCCAGGAAATTGGAGAATGCCTACTGCCTGGCTTGTCTGGGGTCTGGCACATAGTGGGACTCAACAAAGGCTAATTTATGAGGGCTTTGTCATGAGCACATGCACTGTGTATCTCTTGTTTAGTCCTTACAACCATGGCATGATGCAGATACTATTGTTATACTAATGTTATAGGGAGGAAACAAGATGCGCAGAGAAATTAAGTAACTTGCCCAGTAGGATCACATGACATAGTATAAGGGGAGCTGAGATTTGAACTTCATTTGTTGGACGGCAGCATATTCTCTTTGATGTTGGACTCTACTGCCCCCAACATTCAAGAAATGGTACTGTTATAAAGACTGCAGGTAATTGATCAAAGAAGCTCAAGTACAGGCTCAGAGAAGGGGAGTTGGGTGTGTGGCCTCCCTGTAAGCCCAGGCTGGAGGACAGGCACCTCCCTCAGGAGTTAGGGAGAGCTTCCTGCGGGAGGGGAGGCAGCCTGGTGAGAGCTGTATTTAAGTGAAGAAAGTAAGGGGGCTCCAGGACCAGGAGCCCTGGGCTAGGGTGTGGCTTAGGGGAATATGGAGTCTGCCATGGAGAGTTCTGGGTGAAGGGGCTAGGAAGTGGTGGTGGGGAAGGATGCAGGAACAAGGACCTTGAACTTGAACTTGATTGGTGCTGTAATGAGGCATGCCCCTGGCAGTCCATGGCTGAGTGGACAATGGAACTTTTGTGGTTGTAGTAGCATCGATCCCCAGGATGGAGGGATGCCACAAGTGACAAGGGAGGGGACAGTGTTAGGGCTGGGCCTGGGATGACTATAAAGCTGGCAAAGAGAAAGGAGAAGTGAGCAACCAGTTGCACGAATGACAGAAGAATGTGAAACTAGGTTTTAGTTAGAAGCGATGAATGATTGAGCTTCCCTAGAGTTTATCTCAAGACTGTTGACTTTGAGGTCACTGGCCTGGTTACCAAAGTCTAAATTGAGTTAGGGGAGGCTCAGAAAGTGGAACCTGGTCCACACTCAAGCCCACTGTACATATCTGCTGCTTGGGGCAGGAACCCAGACATGGTGCGTAAGGTTTCTTCCCTTCCTTCGATAGACTTTTAAAACATATATTTAAAAAATATTTTAAATTTTAATTATTTTTCATTTCACCTTAATTTTTAACAGCTTCTGACCAAATAAAATCATCCTATTTTGGCATATTTTCTGTTTTTAGATCGTTAGTTATTATATTTTCTGAAGTTGCTATAAGCAAAGTATGAGAGTATTATTTTATCTCCATTTTAACAGTAATTAGGATTTTCTTTTGCCTCTACCAAAATTAATAAAATGTTTTACCTTATTGTCATTTTAATTGGCATTTCCCCGTCTACATTTAATATGGCTATTAAATACTGGACTTTTTTTTTTCTTTTAATGATTTTCCCATATTCTTTTTCCATTTTTTCAATTGAGTCATGTGTTTTCTCTTCTTAATATTTTGTTCTCTTAATATCATTGTAAATAAACCTTTTTCTGTCAACAACATTACAGATTTTTCCAGGCTGATTATTTATTTGATTTTGTTTATTTTTTGCCAAATGAATTTTTTTTTTTTTTTTGACACAGAGTCCTGCTTTGCTGCCAGGCTAGAGTGAGTGCTGTGGCATCAGCCTAGCTCACAGCAACCTCAAACTCCTGGGCTCAAGCGATCCTCCTGCCTCAGCCTCCCAAGTAGCTGGGACTACAGGCATATATCACCATGTCTAGCTAATTTTTTCTATTTTTAGTTGTTTTGGCTAATTTCTTTCTATTTATAGTAGAGACGGGTCTCACTCTTGCTCAGGCTGGTTTCAAACTCCTGACTTCAAGCAATCCACCCGCCTCGGCCTCCCAGAGAGCTAGGATTACAGGCGTGAGCCACCGCGCCCTTGCCAAATGAATATTATAAAATTTTAATAGTTATATCAGCCTATCTTCTATTTTTAAATTTTTTAATTATTGGTGCATAATAGTTGTATATCTTTATCGGGTACATGTGATGTTTTGATACAGGCATACAGTATGAATTAATCAAATCAGGGTAATCGGTGTATCCATCACCTCAGGCATTTATCATTTCTTTGTGTTAGGAACATTCCAATTCCACTGTTTTAGTTATTTTAAAGTATACTCTAACTTATTGTTGATTATAGTCACTTTGTTGTGCTATCAATGTTGTTCATTTGTGCACCCATTAACTATCCCCACTTTATCCTTGCCTTCCTGCTACCCTTCCCAGCCTCTGGTAACCATCATTCTATTGTCTGTCTCCATGAGGTCAATTGTTTTTAATATTTAGCTCCCACATTTGAGTGAGAACATGTGAGATTTGTCTTTCTGTGCTTGGCTTGTTCACTTAACATAATATGCTCCAGTTCCATCCATGTTGTTTCAAATAACAGGATTTAATTCCTTTTTGTGGTTATATAATATTCCATTGTGTATATGTACCATAATTTCTTTATCCATTCATCCATTGATGGACACTTAGGTTGATTCCAAATCTTGGCTATTGTGAATACTGCTGCAATAAACATAGGAGTGCAGATACCTTTTCCATATATTGAATTCCCCTCCTTTGGATATATACCCAGCAGTGGGGTTGCTGGGTCATATGGTAGTTTTCTTTTTAGTTTTGTCAGCAACCTCCATACTGTTCTCCATAGTGGTTGCACTAATTTACATTCCCTCCAATGGTGTATAAGGATTCCCCTTTCTCCACATGCTCACCAGCATTCATTATTGCCTGTGGTTTTTGATAAAAGCCATTTTAACTGGGGTAAGATGATATTTCATTGTAGTTTTGATTTGCATTTTTCTGATGACTAATTATGTTGAGTATTTTTTCATATACCTGTTGGCCATCTGTGTATCTTCTTTTGAGAAATGTCTATTCAGATCCTTTGCCCATTTCTAAATTGGATTATTTGATTTTTTTCCTATTGAGTTTGAGAGCACCTTATGTATTCTAGTTATTAATGCCTTGTCAGATGGGTATTTTGCAAATATTTTCTCCCATTCTGTGGGTTCTCTTCCCTTTGTTAATTGTTTCCTTTGCTGTGTAGCAATAGACTTTTATTGAGTGCCCACTATGTGCCACATATTGTCCTGTATGCTTGGGCTACCAAGATAAATAAGAATTAGTTCCCCAGAGCCTCTTGAGAAACATGGGAACATAAACAAATAATACAACACTGTATGTGCTGTAATAATGATAACAGTAATAATGACAATAAGAATAGTAGCTAACTCTTGTCAAGGGCTGACTGTGCTAGGTATTGCACTGAGCTTTCTATCCGTAGTAAGTCGTTTAATCCTCATAACAGCCTTATGAGGTAGTTCTTCTTATTGTCCCCTATGTTACAGATGAGGAAACTGAGGCACTGGAATGTTAACTATCCGGCCTAAGATCAGGGCATTAGAGCCCTGGTCTTGGCCACTATGCAGTTCTGGCTCCAAGTCATGTGGAAGAGACAGGAGCAGGACTAGGGCAAGGACAAGAACACTGGGGAAACTGTCACCGGGGCTATGCTCTTGCTCAGGCTGGTTTTGAACTCCCGACCTCGAGCAAGCCTCCCGCCTCGGCCTCCCAGAGTGCTAGGATTACAGGCGTGAGTCCCCACGCCCAGCCCGGGCATCTTTAATGAAGGCCTGTCAGCCTGGAGCCTCTAGGGTTTTGGGGAGGCCTCAGATTCTGGGATTCCGAAGTGGGGCTCGCGGTCAGGAGCCACGATTCTGGCCTCAGCTTGTCCCTTTCTCTGTGTGTCTCTCTCCCGGCCTCTCCTGCATTAGAACAATGGGGCTGCCCCACTCTGGCTTCCTCTGATGCGGCGACTCCCCTTCCCGTCTCCGCAGCTGGGACTTGACGTCTGCCCCCTGTGACCACTAGGGGGCGCACGCGCCCCACATGGTGTCTCCTGCAGGAGCCGCGCTGCAGGGTGGCGCGGGGGAGGCCGCTTTGCACCTGTCCGCCCCGCTCCCGCCAGCCAGAAACGGCCCCGCGCTCCCCCTGCTCTGTCCTTCCCCGCGGCAGGGTGCGGCTGTCCCTTTAAGATGGTGCGGTTCAAGTTCTAAGCGGAGATGGGCCAGGCCCGCAGAGGACCGCAGCCTTGATGGGCAGCCAGGCTTCACTGGCACCTTACTTTTTTTTCTGGTGGTGGTAGTGGGGACTGCGGGGGAAGGTGGCAGACCTTCCAAAGTAAGGGGCTAGAACGACACAGCACTCCTGGGATGGGAGGTGAGCTCAGGACAAGCTGCTGTCAGCGCCTTCTCTCAGATCTCTCAGCCTCTGCAGAGTGGGGGTGGTGTTTGCATTTTCTGCACACCTCCTCCTGGCCTGGCACTGTGCCAGGCGCTTTCAGAATGGACGGCGGAAGTGCAGGTGCTGGGCACCGGGCTTTGCTCTTCCTGGCAGGGCCCACTCAGCCTCCCCAGTTGGTACCACCCTAATGAGCACTTAAATGCACACCTGGACTCCTCAGCCCTGCAGGTGAGGTCTGCAAGCCCATCCCTCCATCTAGAGCAGTTCGGAGCATCTCCTGTTCCTAAGTCCTGCCACTTGCCCCCATCACTCAGCTCAGAGGCTGGGCGGAGCAGGAGGCTCTGAGCAGAGTTTGACTTCCCTGCTTGCAGGCTGCAGGGCTGCTGCTTCTGGCGCGGGGCTCAGCAGCTCTGTACAACAAATCAGCTTGAAAACCAGGAGCCCTGCAGGCCTGGGGTATTTGCCAGATTTGGGGGAATTCCAAGGGACTGGCTTGAGGGGTCTGTCGCCAAGGTGCCCTCAGGCCCTCGAAGCCCTTCCTGTGTACAAGGCAGAACTTGAGGAGAAGTTAGGATAATAACAGCTACCGTTTGCTGAGCACTTATTGCTTATATTAATCATCGTGACAACCCTGAGAGGTGGGTGTCATCGTCGGCGTTTCACAGAGGGGGAGACTGGGGCTCAGGGAGGAGCTTGCCCACGCTCTCACAGCGGGTTGAACTCAAGTCTAATCGGAGCCCCTGTCTATGCTATTCCCACGTCAGCAGCCATAATTCTTGCCCGGACAGCCTCCTAGCCGCGCCCTCCATCGCGGTCCCTCTAGTAACTTCCTGTCACACTCAGAAGAATAAACTGCTAACTCCACGTTCCGGCCCGCAAGGCCCTTTGTGGCCAGGTCCCTGCTTACCTCTCTGACCGCAGGTCTCACCACTCGCCCCTTTGGCCACTCTGCTCCTTCTGCCTCAGATGCAGGAAGCTCCTCACTCCAGCCACTGGGTCTGTGCCCTGCCCCCCCCCACTCGATTCCTTCAGAGCTGCGAATGGCCGGCTCCCTTCCTTTAGGCAGGTGCTGCCTGAGTGTCACCCCTCAGAGCAGTCTTCCCTGGGAACCCTATGTAACCAACAGCCTTTACTTGGCTTTCTTTCTTGTAATTATGCATTGCTACCTACAATTGCATTGCTTTTCTCCTTGTTCATGTCTGTCCCCAGAATGCAGGCTTCCTAATGTGGTGACTCTGCCTGTCTTGTTCATAGCAATTAATCCCTAGGGCCTAGACTAGGTACCTGGCACATAGTGGGTGATCTGCAAATATTTGGTAAACGCGTGAACGAATGATGCTGAACATTACCATTTATCCTCCATACAGAAAACTAATATTTTGAGATAAAGTTTTGACAATATTGGCAGAGAAATCTTGGAGTAAAGCCCAGGGCTGGGGTGAGTCCAGTGAGGTGCCTGGGGTGTGATATTTAAGGAGGTGTTCACATGACCTTAAGAGTAGATGCCCCTGAGATGTCATGTCCTGGGCACCTTGCTCGCCTCCCTGTAGACTCTGCCCTGCCCAGAATGTCAGTGGGACAGGCCTTTCTCAGCCCCAGCTCCCAGGTCTCCTCAAAGGACTCCACAGAGCCTACAGTTCCCACCCTGCCAGCCTGCATCAGCTCCTTGCTGTGGTGTTTCCAGGCCTGACATTTCTAAAAGGGACTCCTGTCCCTGTAGACCCATCAGCTGGTGCTTGGAATGGTGCCTCTTCTTTTGGGGCACCGCTTCCCTCCCACGGCTCATCTGCCCTCTTTCCTGCCTGTCAGAAGCCTGGAGAAGATAAGGGGGCTGGGCTGGGCTGGGAACACAGCTTTGCTCTGTCCCCGGCTGTGGAGAGTGTGGCCTTCTGAATCTCCCTCTGTCTTCAGGCTGCCTGCCCCATGCAGGGCCCTGCGGTTTTCAGCTGGAAGGGCTTAGGCCCAGCACAAGTGGCTGACAGTGGTGGAGAGGAAGGGGAAATAGAGGCAAGCACACTGAAGCCCCTTGTCCATCGTCTTTAGCTAGCAAGTGGCACTGGCAGATCTGGGGCAGGTGAAGGTGCTGCCCGGCAGTGATCCTGGGAAAGGGTTGGGGCCATTTGGCTGTCCCTGCTTGACAGATGACTTGGTCTCACTCCACTGCACCTGCCACATCTGGGGCCCTTATGTGCTGTGCCCACTCCATCCTACCCCCTCCCTGACTGTGGCTATCAGGAACCCACCCGCTGCCCACAGCTCTGCTCTGCCTCACTCCCTACCCTCCCATTGGGTACAGAGGCTTGCTTCTCCCTGGGCCTGTCAGCAAGAACCCTCACCAGCTTGTGGCTTTGTTTGCAGTGCCACCAGGGCAGAGCATGGAGGTCACAGTACCTACCACCCTCCATGTCCTCAATGGCTCTGATGCCCGCCTGCCCTGCACCTTCAACTCCTGCTACACAGTGAACCACAAGCAGTTCTCCCTGAACTGGACTTACCAGGAGTGCAGTAACTGCTCCGAGGAGATGGTGAGTCCTGGGGTGAGGGTGTGGGAGGAGGCAGGAGCCTGCCCCTGCACCGGGCCAGCGCCCCGGAGGCCTCTGGCTGGGCTGTCTGCTCCAGAGGGCTCTGGCACTGTGTGGCTGTGCCTGGGTGGCCCTTCTGGAGGTAACTGCCTCTTCTCCCTGGTAAATGGGTGCACGGGAGGGAGGAATGTCCTCACTGTCCTTCCTCTGCCCCACTCCCAGTTCCTCCAGTTCCGCATGAAGATCATTAACCTGAAGCTGGAGAGGTTCCGCGACCGCGTGGAGTTCTCGGGGAACCCCAGCAAGTATGACGTGTCGGTGACGCTGAGAAACGTGCAGATGGAGGACGAGGGCATCTACAACTGCTACATCATGAACCCGCCCGACCGCCACCGCGGCCACGGCAAGATCTACCTGCAGATCCTCATGGAAGGTGAGGGCTGGGGAGCAGCTGCCATGGGGACCCTGAACTTTCCCACCCGCCCACGCTCCGTGGTACTAGCCCAGGGCCCACTGGGGAGGCTGCGCCCTCCTGAGGCTGGGAGCGGCAGCGTGTGCTGGGTGGAAGGCACCCACTCTTCCCTCCCATCCCTGGGCACCTGGAACGTGTCCCGGAGAGGCCTGGTGGTGGTATCGATTGTGATCACACCTTGATAATAATAATGGCAGCTTTCATTTACTGGGCACTTACCACATCTCAGTCTTTATAGGGCTGAACTCTGTTCATGTGCTATTTCATTTCATCCTCGCAAAAACCTCGTGAGGGAGGCACTATTATTATCCCCATTTTACAGACGGGGAAACCGGGGTTAGAGAGGGTAAGTTGCCTAAGGTCACATCATTCACAGATTGTACAATCAGGACTCAGAATGGATCTGTTCGATCTCCGAGTCCACGCTATTAAATACTCCATCATACCGCCTCTCCTGGGGGCTTCGTGGTGCCCTGAGATTTTAGGGTGGGGGTGCTCAGAGGCCAGTCGCCTGGGCTGCTCTTTGGCTTTGACAAAAGCCCTGTCCTCGGGGGAGAGTGAAGTCGGGACCACCCCACGCATGCCGCCGGGAGCAGGGGCCCCCCGCAGCCCTAGCGCTCAGTGGCTCTGCTTCCTTTCTTTCCCCAGAGCCCCCCGAGCGGGACTCCACGGTGGCAGTGATTGTGGGTGCGTCCGTGGGGGGCTTCCTGGCTGTGGTCATCTTGGTGCTGGTGGTGGTCAAGTGCGTGAGGAGGAAAAAAGAGCAGAAGCTGAGCACGGACGACCTGAAGACGGAGGAAGAGGGCAAGACCGACGGCGAGGGCAACGCGGAGGACGGCCCCAAGTAACGGCAGCCGCCCTGCAGCCTCCCGCGTCCGTGTCCTCCCACTCTCCGCCCTGTACAGTGACCCTGCCTGCCCTCTCTTGGTGTGCTTCCCTTGACCCGAGACCCCCGGGGCCGGCCTGGAGCCTCCTGAACCTCACACTTCGTATCCCCCGCCCTGCACCAAGAGCGACCACCTCTCTTCCATCTGAGAAACCTGCCATGGCATCTGGGACGTTGGGCCCTGGGGAGGGGAGAGAAGGGGCTCCAGCCTGCCAGCCCCTGAGGGGTGGAGCAGGCGCAGGGGTGGGGGAGGAGGCCAGCTGTCCAGCCTGCCCAGGGCTTGGTCTGGTGGCGGCTTCAGAGAGGACCTGGCGGGGAGGGGAGGGCTGTCCTGTGCTGACCAGAGCAGCCTCACGAAGGCCTCGGGAGCGGCCTCACTGTGCTCCTCCAGCTGCTCCCAGTGCAGCCCCATTGGGCTGGGGGTTGGGGATGAGCTCCTAAAATTTGGGGGTGGGGAGGCATGCTAAGGGATGACTGAGCATTTCCAGGGCGCAGAAAGAAATCCAGGGCCAGGGCCTTGGCCCAGGGAGCTTGTTCTGGCCTCGTTTCCATTGCCAGCAGCCTCCTCTGGTGTCTGCTGCCTGCCAGTCCCTTGGGACTGTTGGCGAGGACAGTGCTGGGAGAACTGCTCCAGGTAGGGGTCACGTTCCACCATAGGTACCACCAGCAGGAGGCCAGTTTCAAAGTCAGCTGAGGACGGGAGTGGTGGGGGCTGCATGCAGACAGAGTTTGTGCAGACCACCCTCCCCAGTGGGTGTCCACCTCCTCCTGGGCGGGGCGCACAGTGGGGCAGCTCGCCTTAGGGCTTCCGTGTGGACTTTCCCAGCTGCCCTTGGTGGGGTTTCCAGCTGGCTGTGAGCTAGACAGCAGGGAAGGGAAGGCTGAGGCAATGGCGAGGGGAGGCCTTGGAGCCCCTGAGAGCTGCAGCCAGCCCTGTTCCATCTGCAGCCATATTCCACGTGCCCCTGCCCACAGCTCCCTATGAGGGGACCAAAGTCGCATTTGTGGGGAGCCAACTTTCACTGCCACCATACTCACATTCCAAGGGAACTGTTTAAGCCTGAGAGCAGGAGAAAGGCAGAAACAGAAACTGCTGACTCAGAGAATACCACCTTGGAAGACTCTCAGAGATCAACTAGCTAAGTCACTTATACTACAGAGGGGGAAACTGAGGTTCCAACTGACAGATACTGAGGGTCCTGCTTTCTTCTCTAGCTGCTCTGGCTCCAGTCTGAATCAACAGAGCCATAGTTTTCCCTGTGAGGGTTAGGGTGGGCTCGCCCAGCCCTGACCTCTCCCAGGAGCCTCTCGGGGCTGGGACAAGGAGGAGGGAGGGAGGGAGGGGGCGGGAGGGCCCCAGCATGGCCTAGCCTTCTTAGCTCACCCGCACACCTGCCCCTGCTCAGGGAGTTAGGTGCCCAGGGCAAGGAATAAGTTTGGGGAAAGGGGGTGGAAACAAGACTGTGACAGTCTCAGGGACCAATCCTGCCTCTGCCCATCAGATGGCCAATTTGGGGAGAGAGCAATAGTGTATGGGAGGTTCAGCTTAATTCACTTCAGTTCAACAGTCATTTATTGAGCATCTGCTATGTGCCAGACACCATGCTGGGTGCCGGGATGCACACAAAGCCATACTGAGTTGGAGACTGCCAGGTCAGCAATAGGGAGTAGGGACCAAGATTAATTTTTTGGTGCATCTAATTCCACCTCTGCAGCCACTGCTTCCAGGGCTAGAGTTGGGGGTGGGGAAGGAAGAGCTTCTAGAGTCTTGGCCCTGGGAAGGGAGGAAAGAAGGAAGATACAACAGGGATGAGGGTGCAGAGGCCAGGCAGCGTGGCACGGGAGACTGGGGGAGATGAGCACCCAGACTGATATCGCCTGGGTGAGGTGAGTCCAGCCCATCTGGAAGTTCTAACTCATCAGCTCAGTACCTAACTGCCAATCAACACACTGCCAACCGGGGTAGGCTAAGCCACCAGGATGCCTGGAGCCGGTGGACACTGCCCATCCTCTGAGCTGACCAGCTGGGGGCCGAGAGGTGGGTGGTGGGCACCTCATGCCGGCTGAGACCAAGGGTGGTTGTATACATTTCTGCAGCTTGCAGATTTCATTTTTTGGTCACCCCTTAAGTGCCCTCCTCTCCCAGGATGAGTGAGGATCTGTGCTGATATTTGGAACTTTTTCTTTTTCCAGGACTCATAACATTTGGGGGAACTATTTGCAAGATTCCCTAGTTCATTCTAAGAAGTCCTAACTGTCCATCAAGAAGCCCAGGACTTCTGAGGTCTTTTCCTTCTCTGCCCTGATGGAATGGGGGCCAAGGAGAGCAATGCCTCTCTAGTAGACGGGGCTGGGCCAGGAGACGTCTCCGCCCAGGTGCTGGCCCTGCCCTGGGATGTACTTTCTTCTCCAGCCTCTTGGAATCTTCTCCAGGGGTCTCACAGAGCTGCCTCCCCCAGGGCGGTGAGGTTGGGAGCAGATTGGGGCTTCTGTGAGTAGAGGTGGAAAACTAGTGAGCTGTTTCCACAGTGGCATTTCTCTACCCTGCTTTCTAACTACCTTATGCTGACAAGTTGTTCCTCTTCCTGCACCGTGGGGGTGGAGCCCCACTTCTGGCTGCATGTTCTCACCACTGTGCTCTGCTGGTTTCAGTCTGCTGTCTTCTCCACTGCCCCTGCCTCTCCCACTCTCTCAGAACCCTCCCCTGTCTCCTCCTCCTCATTAAGGGCCACTGCAAAGAGAGACAGGCTGGCTAACCCATGGGATTAAGTTTATAAGAACAAAGCACAATTTTTCAGGACTGAAATGCCTTGAGGTGCCTTGGAACTGGCTTTGGAAATAGGTATCTGCCCTCTAGCTATGGACTCATTCCAGTTATTCCCAGTTTATAAAAAGGAAAAGCTGATTGGATCCATATTTCTCTCTGCGAGTCTCCTTCGGGAGGTTGGGCTGGTAAATATTTACAAGGTCAGGTTAAGTAGAAAGACGATTGAAAACACTGGTCAGGTCCAAAAGGATAGTCCCAGGCCACAGGAATGGCTTGGTGCAGTTAACGGGTGATGAATCAAGAAGTTTTCCTTCCTACTTGTCTTAAGGATAGGCAGCCTGTGTCTCTTACTGATGTCTTCCTATATTGAAGCTTGCTGATGCACTGTACACAGTCTATATATAGAGCTATAGATATATTATATATACAAATATAAAACATCTCACTTCACCTGCCCCAAAAGTTACATTGTTGCGGGGAGGTGTAATCACTTCTCAGTGTTTTGAGTTGATTCACCAAAGGCAAATCATGGAGTGAATGTTCTTATTGCTCTGTGTGCACTTGAAGGGGAAACCCAACTACTTAAGCACTTTCTAGGTTTTATGTGCTAGGTAGTGGTTGGGAGGGGGGATTGGAAGGGGAGAGAAACTTCAATGGCTCTCTGTGACCCGATTGCTGGATGTATCTGCTTTTGGGCACAGATTGAGTTTCTTTTGCAGTTTGTCTTATTCCTTGGATCTACTGGTGATAATAAACAGACGGTCTCCCCTGAACATCCCTCACGTGTGGCTTTATCCAGGGGTGCAGGGCAGGGTAGGTGGAAGCTTGGCCAGGATCTTGATCTCTGGTGCTCCCTTCCTGGTAACTCCACATTGCACTCCACATCGCCACCACCGGGGGCTCTCAAAGCTCTTGCCTCACAACGATGAGGTCATCCTTCACTCTTGTTGCCGGATGTCTCATCCTTTTGACTTCCCCAAGCCCCTGGGGACTTTACCCACCATGGGAAGCAGCCTGGGACAGGATGGCTGAACACCTACTTCTTGGAGGACTCTTGATTATTTCTGGGATGGAGATAACCCTGCAAGCCCTCGAGGCTGTCATGTGGACACGGCCTATTCTCTCCATGGATGGAATCTTCTAGACAGCATCTGATTAGGCAGATGTTTCTCTTGCCTGCTCCAGACTCAGAAAAACAGAGGACAGCAATCAGAGTCTGTCCTTGTGTAACTTCACGCAGGAAGGTGGCTGGTGGGAAGGACCAGGTGACTCCTGTCCCACCTACATACTGCTGGATCCTATTCACGTGCTGCTGAATCAGCCCTAAGAAGTTCAGGACCAAAGCAACCCCCTGGCTAGGGGTGTCACTGTCCAGGACCTACCTTGCCCCTTTTCTCTCTTGCTCCCCATTCTTCTGTCTTTCTGCATTTTACATCTCTCTCTCTCTTGCACACACACACACACACACACACACACATTCACACGGAACACACAAAGACTCTTGCCTAGCAAGCTTGCCAGAAAAGAAAAGCCTCAATTTGCGGAATGGCACAGAAATGCTTAAGTAGTTGGTTCCTACTTTTCTCCTGGTTTCTCTATCATTTCTATCTGCTCCCCGGTGACCCAGAGCTTTCACCAGTGGTTAGTGGTTAGGAATATTCCAGGAGGGTCCTGACATGGGTAGTCCTAATGCCTGCAAGGATTACAGCTGCCACCTGAGAGAGAAGCTAGACAGGAGATGGTAGCATTAAACAAAGGTGGCTGGTACTTAAAAGAACCAAGGCTCCCTTGGTTTAAGAAGATGTCTGTCCCCGAAAGGCTCTGCGTGCTTCCAAGGATGGGATGTCAGGGAGGATGCTTCTCTACTTAACAGATAGGGACCGTGGGGCAGGAGATGTGGACTGGGCAGGAGAAGGCACCAGGGATTCTGGCTGGTTCCTCCCGGGGTGGACGCTGGCCCCTGATATCTGGCCAGGGCAGCAGTCTCTTCCTCACTGGGCTTTCCTCCAAAAAGCGAGAGCACGAGCTGGGCCTGGAGGGTTGGATTTGGCCCAGGCACTTCCCCTCAACTGATGTTCTTTGGCCCAGTCTGCTTGGGGCTGGGTAGGGTGATTTTGACTGTGGACTGAGATGCCTGGTGCGGAAAGGGCTAGCTCCACCGTGGTGCTCAGAATTATTGGTCACTGGTTTCCTACACCCATCAACTGCGGTAGAAGTACCTGTACAAGAGCCTCCCAACTCCCACTGGAGCCTCCTCCCACCCGTGGGATACCCCAGTGGGACAGCCACCGGCCTGCCCACAGCTGGCTGCCAAAAGGAGCGGACTGGGAGAGTAAGCCTTTGCAACATCAGAGATGGGAGGACCCCAGGGAACACATGGGCAAGCCTCCTCACTGAAGGGAAACCGGGGGCCAGAGCAGGCAAGTGACTCGCTTAAGGCCGCAGGATGAATGAGGCACAAAGACAGGATCTCGTGTCACGCGCGGGGGGCTGCTGTTCTTCTCCCAGCCCTCGCCTGGCACCGGGCCTCATGCTCCACACAGCAGCACATACCAGCCCAGGCTCCTGCCCTGGCCCGCGCCAGCTGGGCCTGAGTTGATCTAAAAGAAGCACTTGCGCTTCCTTAAGGGCTCAGTTTTCAAAGCTCAGGTTCAGAGAGGAAAGTGATTTGCCCTGAGTCACATAGTTGGCTAATAACAGAGCAAGGACTGGAACCCAAGTCTCTCTTTCCCCGGTAAAGGCCTTCCCTGGGCTGACCTGATGTCCCTGGGCAAGAAGAGTCAGGTCCTTTAGCCACTAGTTCCCAGAGTGCTGTTCCCACACCCCGTTGGTGTGACTTGTCTCCTGTTGGGCTGTACACGGGCCCTCTTGGGCTACTTATCTCCCTCCCATCTTGCAGGGGTAGGGGATAGTGTGGAAAAAATTTCAGATGAGAGGAGCCTGGGGTGGTGCCTGGTGGGATGCAGGCTGGGCAGCTGGAGGCAGGACGGGGTGGGGGGGTGAGCCCCACTGGGTCTCCTGGCCTTCTCCATATGCTCTTTGAGGGCCCAGAAGGTCCGTGCTGGAAGGGCCCCACGGGAACCCTTCTCAGAGAGCCTTGGTATCGCTGCCCCCCACCCTTCCCACAGACTTTCAGCCCGAAGCCCACCAGGTTCCAGTCACTCCCGGCTGCCTGCTCCCATGCTGATGTCCCAGGTGCCAACCACTTCTCAGGATGGGCTCCGGACACCCAGTGGATAAGAACTCCAGAGTGTCTGGGGGGAGGAAGCCCAGCTGAGAACCACAGCCTGGTGTCCTGACACAGCACGTGGACTTGTGGGGGAGGCCAGTGGGGTCTAGCTTAGGAGAAAAGGGAGACAGAGACACCTGGGGACAGACGTGTGGGCATAGATGAGTTGGGGGTGGGGGGATGGGTGTCTGGTGAGCCTGCTCTCCCTTTTCTCTGCTATAATGACCTTGAGAGTCCAGAAGGTGTTGGGGGGGACAAGTGGACACTGGACACTCATCTTGGCTACTTAGGATTCCACGAGAGGGGCTTTCCCTTATAGCCCTGGTGAAGTCACCTTTATCCCAACCACAGTTGCCTCTGCTTCTCACTGGGACATATTCGTCGTAAACAGGTGGCAGAGGGCTAGGAACTATTTGCCTCAGCATATTGAGAGCCTTTCCTGTGGGCAGATGGACAGAAAGAGTATGTGTTCGGCCAGGAGGGGAAGTGCATATCATAGCTGTTGGCCAATACAGTAGCCTGGGCTGTGGCCACAGGGAGAAAGATTAGACTTGTCCCATTCTGTTCCTGGGCAAAACATTAGGACTGGCAGGTGGAGACAGATATTGATCCAATATAAGTCAGAGAGGTGCGGAGGGTTGAGTTTCTTGAGGTAATGAGATCCCCATCCCAGAAGATATTCAAGCATAACTTGGGGGTGTTGTCAAGAAGATTCATACATCAGGGCATAGTTTAGATGGCTTTTAAGTTTACCGACAATTGCCCTCTGCAGTCCTTATTTTAGGGCTCAAATGATAGAAGTGGGATTAACTCTTGCTTGGCTGAAGATAAATATAACACATGCATGGCCAAACTCCAGACCCTCTGCCTTCTTACTCAGTTAGTTTTCCCCAGACTACATCAGTTCCCTGGGACCCCTTCACCTGATTTATGGACAGTGGGGCATGTGGGGGGGGGAAGGTGGCAAACCCCCGGGAAAAACCGGAAAACCGCCGGGAAAAGGGGGGAAAAGAAAAACCAAGGGGCCCTGGGGGAGCTTCTTTCCAAAGATCAGGCCAAGTCTAATGGGCCTTCCTAGGCCCAGCAACCAGGGCAAAGGT